TCTGCACTTTGAAAATGTATACAAGCCTAAGGAACTATGAGACATGCAGTTTTTGAACTGTTCAAGTGTTGATTCCTATTTAGTCACATCAGTTACTAAAACATACAAAAATAAACAAATTGGCAGTTAAATATTTGGTAAACAGTACTGTCATATTGGAATGACGATGGAGACTTCAGCCTTCAGTTGGCCTCTACGTCAGAAACTTGAGACTTAACTCTGACTCTAATTTTGTGACTTGTGAACATCTCTGCCAGAATGTTAATTCTGGATATCTATAATGTAATTGTGGATATCTGAAACTGAAAGCCAAATAGACATGAATGGCAAAAGTGGTGTCATTTGTCCTAGGAAGAATGCTATTGTGGATATCTGAAATGCTCTTTTACATTAGGAAAAACTGAATTAGAGATATCTCCAATGCAAATCTCGTCTAGACATTAAATGTTAAAATGGCCACTCATACTTTGTAAAGATTCAAAGATATTTTAAATAGAATTTTGACTAGGAGAAAAAAAGTTTTAGATATCTTGAAAAACAATTCTAACTACTAAGAATGTTATTGTAGATATATGTAATTTCCATTCTGACTAGTGAGAATACAGGTTTGTCTAGGAGAAATGCTATTATGGATGTCTAAAATGTAATTACAGATAGGAGTGTGACTTGATTAAATGTAAAAACGGCTCGCCATAGGACATATATACACACGCAGAACGACACAGTATATGACTGCAAATTACATTACAATGATGTAGGTGGAAACTCGACTTGTCGTATTTCCTATTTTCTATAATATGAAATAACAGCACATGTTGGTTATGTGTTTACAGGCCTATGCTGGTTTTTATAACTTAAATCTAAGCTAGATGAAAAGGGTGGACATGTCCTATAATTATGCTAAACGTACTGTAACGTTCATGGTGATAGATAGATAAAGCTTCTATAGATAAGTATTCTATTCTGTTTGTAACCAAGTCCATGTTAACTTCATGATCGCTCAGAAAATGTTACATGTTAAAGGCATCAAAGAACCAATTACACTGAGTATTTTGCACTGAATTCTTAAACACTGATAAGTAATATAACAAAATCATGTGTGTATATATACACTGTATAATGTATTGGTGGTTGTCAGTCATTTTAGAGAAATTGTGGAATAGGTCACGATTAAATAAAAGATAAGTAGTGATTTCAAAATCAAAGTGGTGAATAAACTATATTCCCAATGCAGGTTATATATACAGTGCTGTGAATTATTCACTTATTTTTATGCATATATGTCACTTTTCCATGTTTGAGATCATCAGACAAATTTTAATATTAGACAAAGATAACCAGAGTAAATACAAAATGCAGTTTTCAAAGGATGATTTCATTTATTAAGTGAAAAAAGCTATCCAAACCTACCCTAGCCCTATGTGAGAAACTAACTGGCCCCACCCTTTTGATAAATCATGAATTAACTGTGATCAACCACAATTATTGGAAAGCTGAGTTCAGTTTCACTAGCCACACCCATCCTGATTACTGTCAGACCTGGTCAATCAATAGAACCTGTCTGACAAAGTGAAGTAGGCGAAAAGATCTCAAAAAGCAACACGTCATGCTATGATCTACAGAAACTCAAGAACAGATGAGAAACAAAGTCTGAAAATCAAGAGGTGTGCATTGTGCCCCATAGGGCATTGCTTCAACCAGACTTTACTGAATATGTCTGTTATATTCTACGCATGCGCCAGTATGGTAATTGTCACGCCCAGCTCCGTATGATCCTCGTGTGTGCCACGCCCCCTCATTATCTCGTGTTAACCCCCTGGGACCGGCGATCCCGCCGGCGGGATCTGACAGAATTCTCGCGAGACCGTTTAAATAACTCCGCGAGTTTTTGTCATACACACATTTTAAAAAATACCCTCAGAAACTTTGGACGGTCTACTTTTCAAATATATATAGGTAGAAACTAAATATATTTTTACAGCTTCGTGATACGAATAGAAAGAACAAGA